TCATAAGGAGGTGTGGAATGATGGGAGGTTATGGCTGGATAGAGGAATTTTGAAGATCTTGGTCCTGTAAGTGGGACATTTGTGGATTATGATAAGATAAAGGATGTGACTTTCTGAATGTGGTGGAGAAAGGGAGTGAAGGAAATGAAGAAGAAGGCCACAGTGTTTTATGGCAACATCAATAGGGCATGTCTATGTCCCCTGGTAGAGGGATAGCAATTGGGATGGAGATGATGACTGTGAGCCAGGCACTGAATTCCTTGAGAGAACAGGGAAGTGATGTCAGTCAATAAGTGCCAGGTTCTTATTTGGGTGATAGATTTTCATGGACTAAATCTCCAAGGGAAAAAATGGTTGCAGAGTGATGGCGACAGTAGGGTGTAGAGATGACACTGGCGAGTCAGGAGCATACCTTGTCCCTGAGACAGGACTGGGATTTTTTAGAAGGACTAGATTTCATTTTTTCTCTGTATTTAATTATCCAATGCCTAGTATAATTTAGGGCAGCTAGGTGGCTCAGTGGATAGAGTGCCAGGCTGAGAGTCAGGAAGACCCAAGTTCAAAATGTGACCTCCAACACTTACTAGCTATGTGACACTGGGAAAGTCACTTAGGCCTATTTGCCTCAGTTTCCTCATCTGTAAAATGAGCTGGAGAAGGAAATGGCAAACAGCTCTAGTATCTTTGCCAAGAAAACCCCAACTGGGATCACCAAGAGTCAGACATGACTGAAACCACTCAACAACAGTAACAAAGTATAAAGTCTATGGGTGGGAAACCTACAGCTTCGAGGCCACATGTGGCTCTCTAGGTCCTTAAGTGTGGACCTTTGAATCCAAACTTCACAGAACAAATCCCCTTAATAAAAAGATTTGCTCTATAAAACTTGGACTTGGTCAAAAGGCCTCACCCAAGGACCTAGAAGGCCACAGGTTCCCCACCTCTGATTGTAGTCAGTACTCAGTAAATCGTTCATTGATTGCAGCAGGCAATTCTTTTAAAAACTCTGACCCTCCAGATGTTTGTACTCTGAGGGTTTCCTGTAAGATTGGGGTTTAGAGGCAACATCTGTAGGATGGGCGGGAATGACTAACATCTGCACCTAATACTAACTCTTTGGTAAAAGGAAAAGAAGGAAGCAGTGGACTTTGATGGCCATGAAGGCTGATTGGTTCAGCTCTCATGGAGGAAAATTACACTAAGTCCAAGTACGCCTTAGATTCAGTAGCTCACATTTAATAGCCTCTTTCTGTTTACAAAAGGGTATGTACATAAACACAACTATCCCTAATGACAGACGCTTGGATTTGAAGCCAGAGCTCCTGACTCACTTTCAGTGTTCTTCCTCTACACTACCCTAGCTCCAAGGTGCCCCTGGTTAAACTTAGGCAATCTACCTAACCACTTTCAGCCTCAGTTTCCTCATCCATAAAATAGAGATAAAAACAGCACTTATCCTACAGGATTGTGGTGAGGATCAAATGGAATAATAAATGTAAAGTACTTCATAAACCTTAAAATGCAACATAAATGCTAGCTTTTATTATTGGGAGACAGCGGGGGTCAAAAAAGGAAGGTTTTGCGGAAGCCCTGACTAGAGGCATGAAGACACAGAAAGCTCAGTAGGAGAGTTTACTGTGACTGAGGAGAGAGGGATGAGAGTTATAGAGAGACCAGCTGCTGCTCAGGACAGAGAGAGGTCATGCTGTCCCCAGGGAGCCATGCCGTTTGCTCCAGCTATGCCTGCTGAGAGAATCTCTGGGAGCAGAAAAGATGGGAAGGCTCTGGCTGTGGATCAGCCCAGCCCTTCTGCTGGCTGGGGCTCCAATCCCTCATTGGCAACCTTTACCAGTCAGAGTGGATGAGCAAATGGGACCAGGAATCTCAGAGGACCAACCCAGGGTTGTATTTGTCTCCAGTGCCTAGTACAGTGCCTGACACATGGTAGGTACTTAAGAATCTTTTTTAAAAAAAATTGAATCAGAACAGAAATCAGAAAGCCTGGGCTCTGGGCTTGGATCTGGCCCTTAATAGATCTGGGATCCTGGACTAGCCACATACTATCTCTGGGCCTTTTTTGCCTCATCTGAGAAAAAGGGATAATGATAATGAACAGTGCTACCCATCTCTCATAATTGTTATGAGGAAAAGGAATTTGCAAGACTGAAAAGTGCCCCCCAAATGTTAGGTCTTACTAGGGGATCATAGATCAGAGAGTTTAAAGCTGGGAGAGACTTTGAGTCAGCTAGCCTAACCCCTTATTTTCTATGTATATTAAATACAAGCAGGTAAGGAGAAAAGTCGGGACTCAAGCTCAGATCCTCTAGCTCCTAATTAAGCATGCTGTCCACAAGGTTATTACCATCTCCATTAGAGGCAAGTTGTTAGGGTGAAGCAAATTAATAGGCATAGCAGATCGGCTGTTGGACCTGGGTTCAAAATTGTTCTCACTAGCTGTGTGGCTATGTATGGGCAAATCATTAATCTCTCTGAGTCTCAGTTTCCGCATCTATTAAATTAGGATTAATAGTACTTGTCCTTGTATCTCACAGGGTTGTTGTGAAGCTCATATTGCCATGATCTGTGCAAAGTGCTTTGCAAACATTAAAATATCACATAAGTGGAGGAAAAATAGCGTGAAGCAGAAGTAAGTCGTAGCATTGAAATGTATCACTGCCATCCGTAAGAATGAGGATGTTGGGTGCCATGTGCAACAGGCAAGGAGGCAGAGGCTTGCCAAGACAAAACTCTTTCCTGTGTTCTCATGAACTCCTCAAATTTTTTTGAACTTCTCCCTCCCACCCTCCTCACTAGAGCTCTGGAAGTCTCTGACCTCTTGAGAACCCAGAGAAGGAATAGGTTTCTGGCTCTAAATAAAGACATCTGTATGTGTACATATACATATGTGGTTATAGCATGTATATTTATATATAGCCAGTATGCATATATACATATAAATATATATGTGTGTATATATACACATGTATGTACATATATATACATACATACATATATATATATATATACACACACACACATATAAGCTGTATTACCCACATCCCTAACCTACCAATAGCATGGAAGCTATTATTATGGGCCTTGAACTCCATTGCCTCCCATAGGTCCTGGCACATAGAAAGTCCTTAATAAATGCTTACTGGGTGAATGAATGAATGCATAGGGTGGTGAGTAGAGGAGCTTATTCTTTGGGGTTCTCTCTGTGGAGAGGAGCAATGCTCAAGAGTTCAGACTGATGCATGATCACACCAGATGGGGATGCCCCACGACTTCTGGAAATCTGTGCATACTGGGTTGCCCCACATAGCAAAGGTGCTACAGAATTCTCCTTTTGTATCCCAGGGTTTGGGGCAAGATCGATAGAGATAATCAAACATGGCGCCCCAGGACATCATCCAATCAATAAGCATTTTTTACATTTGTTTTACATCTCAGGCCCTTTTCTAGGTGCAGAGAATACAAAGACAAAAGACAAAAGTCCTTTCCCTCAAGAAGCTGATGTTCTGCCTGGTGAGACAAATCTGCCAATAAGAGACTTTATACAGAGTAGATGCAAGGCAGTTTTTGCTGGGGGAGGTGCTAGCTGGAGGAGTAGGCAGGGATGAGGAAAGATCTCATGTAGAAGGTGGTCCTTGAGCAAGGTCTTAGAGGAAACTGGGAATTCTACAAGGTAGAGGTGAGAAGAGTGTCTGCTCTAGCCACGGGGACCATGCAGTGAGTGCAAAGGCACCAAGGGGGAAGATGGATGGGCCAGCAAGAGGAACTATCAGAAAGCTAATAATCTGGTCCAGGCTCTGAATGAAAGGGAGGACTATGTGATAAAGGTGCAAAAGTATAGTGAGGCCAGGTTTTGAAGAGCTTTGAATGCCAAAACAGTAGAGACAAGGGGCGGTCAGGGCAGTGTTTCCTGCATAGGCTCATCACCAAAGCCAGCCACTCCAGAGGCATCATGAGAATGACAAGCCATGGGCCAGAGGCTCCATGGGCTCAAGCCTCTTCTCTTTCTATTCTGCCCCACTTCCACTCCCATGAATATAAATGAATTTAAATCAATTCAACAAGCATTGATTAAGTACTTACTATGTACAAAGGTACCTACTAGGTGTTCGGCAGCATAAGAAAAGAAAAATAAATTCCTCACCGTCAAGGAACTTACATTCTCCTGGGGATATAACATGTATGGATTAAGGAAATGTAAATCTGTACATAGTAACAACAAAATAACTTGGGAGTAGAGAAACATTTGTTCAGTCGTTTTCAGTTGTGTTTGACTCTTTGAGTTCATCTCAACCCATTTGAGGTTTCCTTGGCAAAGATACCAGAGTGGTTTGCCATTTCCTTCTCCAGTTCATTTTACTGGTGAGGAAACTGAGGCAAACATAGTTAAGTGACTTGCCCAGGGTCACACAGATGATAAGTGTCTGAGGCCAGATTTGAACTCAAGAAGGTGAGTCTTCCTGACTTCAAGTCTGGCACTTTATCCACTGTGCCACCTAGCTGCCATTAAGTGTTAGTGACTATTAAGCATCTGATTTGTACCAGACGCCATGCTCCCTTCCCAGACACTCCCAAGTGAGTGCCTCCATCTGTCTTCATTTGATGCTTGTGACCATCATTTGTTAAACGAAACTGCTAACAACTAGTTATGGGAACATGACCACATCATTTTCCTTCTCTAAACCTCAGTTTCTTCATCTGTAAATTGGGGGTGCTGGATTAATGTTCTCTAAGATGCCTTTTGCTTCCAACATACCTTGACTTCAAGTTGCTTGGCCCTTTCCCTTCTTTGCCTTCATTGTATCCCTTCCCTTGCCTATCCTCCCAACCTGACTTCAGCCTCAGTATCTCTATTCCCACTTCTCATCCTTCCTCTATCCCCATTATCTCCAATTATTCTACTAGTTGCTGGGCTCAGGAGGTGGCAGCCATTGGCCCACCCAGCCATCCAACAATTCTTACCTTTCCCCTTTCTTTATCCACAGGAAACATGAAGTGCCACATGCCCACCAGCCACCTCTTCTTCTGGCTTTTCGTGGTCAGCTCTGGATGCTGGGGTAAGTCTAATCCTTCCTCTACCTGTCTGAACTTGGGGACCAAGCTTATGACCTGATGGTCAAGAGTTCAGACTGATACGTGATCACACCAGATGGGGATGTCCCATGACTTCCGGGAATCTGTGCATTCTGGCCTCTGCTTTAGTATCACCTTGCCATGTCACCTTAAACAAGATGCTTACTGCTGGGTCTCAGCCTTCTCTACAATATGAAGTTAAGAATACCTATTTTCCCCAAGGGTTTGGGCTCCAGGGCAAACCAAGAGAAATAGTCAGGGTACTTGAGCTCTGAAGGGGAGAGTTGCTTCTGATGCAGTGGGTTCCCCTTTTCTCTGGAGCAGGTATGAGCCCCAAGGTCATTTTCTTTCCATCAACCCAAGGACATCCTCCTTGTGTGAAAGGCCAGATCCTGCCTCTTTTCCCCCGCCTAATTTCTGCAGTGCATTTAGCAGGATAAGCTGACCTCTGTGATGTGGCCCTCTCCCTCCTCTATGAAACCTGGACCCACTGGAGTTGGCAAGGGAAGCAATTCGGGTCTGAGTGTGGGATTAAGGCAACAGGTGTGCACCACAGAGCATTGTGGAGGGCTGGGGCTTCTCCTGGGAGGAATCTGAGCCCAGACGTGCATAGAGACACCACCAAGCATGCCTGCAGAGGCAACCATGGGGAACAGGAGGCCCCATTACCTTTGAGCACAGCAGCCAGCCCGCCTCCTTCCCCTAGGAGAAAGCCCCAGAGGAGTTTCTCAAGCCCTGCATTTTTTATAGCAGGGATTCTGAACCTGGTCTGCAAATAGACTTTCGAGAGGCTGTGAATTTGGATGGGAAAAGAAAAAAAAAAACACTTCTTTAGCTTCACTGATCTCTAACTGAAATTTTGCATTTCCTTCAATTATCAATGTTGTCCACAAACATTATTCTGAGGCTTCACTGGGCTGCCTGCCAAAGGGGTCCAAGACCCAAAAGAGGTTCAGAACCCTTCCTTTATAGTGACATGATGATTGTAGGAGTGATCTCTATGAAATGTGGCCCATAAATCCAAGGTGGGATTCCCAATAGGGAAGAAACTCAGACACAGAGGGATCACCCAGAAGTTCCACAGCAGAGCCGGGCTTAGAATCAAGGTTTTTAACTTTTTTTGTACCATGGACCCCTTTGGCAGCATCTGGTGAAGCCTATGGGACTGTTCTCAGAACAATATTTGTAAATGCATAAAATAAAATACACAAGATTACAAAGGAACACATTATATTGTGATGTGTATGTGTGTGTGTGTGTGTGTGTGTGTGTGTGTGTGTGTGTGTATGTGTATTCCTGCAACGAGACTCCAGGTTAACAACCCCTGGCCTTGAAAGTAGAAGCCACTAACTCATTGTTCCACTCTGCTCCTCTACTTGGGAGACTTCCCTGCCCAATCCAATTCTTACTTCTTTCCTTGTTTTTTTCTGATCTGGCTGATGCTGTCCTATGGAGTCATAACATACTCCAGACCCAGCTGTAGGCTAAGACACCCTGGCATTTCTGTGTGAGTAACTCAGTGGAATGTGCTGCAGTTTAATTTAAAATCTTATCCTCAACCCCACCTCTACCTTGGGTATCATCTGCCCTGGCTCTTTAAAAAAATTTTCATTTAATATTTTATTTTTTCCAATTATATATAAGAACAATTTTTAACATTTATTTTTTAAAATTTTTAGTTCCAAATTCTCTCCCTTCCTATCTCCCCTCTGCCCTCTCTGAGATAGCAAGCAAGTTGATGTTGGTTATACATGTGCAGAAATGTAAAACATATTTCCACATTAGTCATGTTGTAAAAGCAAACACAGACTTTAAAAAACCCATCTACAAAAACATACAGAAAGTGAAACATAGTATGCTTTGATCTGCATTCAGACTCCGTTAGTTCTTTCTCTGGCAGTGGATAGCATTTTTCATCATGAGTCCTTCAGAATTGTCTTGGATCATTGCAATGATCAGAGAAACCAAGTCTTTCACAGCTGATCATTGCACAATGTTGCTGTTACTATGTATGATGTCTTCCTGGTTCTGCTCACTTCGCTCAGCATCAGTCCATACAAGTCTTTCCAGGTTTTTCTGAAATCTGCCTGCTCATCATTTCTTATAGTACAATAGTATTCTATTACATTCATATACCACAACTTGTTCAGCCATTTCCCAATTGATGGGCATTCCCTCATTTTCCAATTCTTTACCACCACAAAAGAGCTGCTATAAATATTTTTGTACGTGTGGGTCTTTTTTTCCTTTTTTTTTTGTCTCTTTGGGATACAGACCTGGTAGACCCTGCCCTCACTCTTGCCAGCTAAATCAAGCCTGCCCAGCCCACTCTGGTCTTCAGCATTTTCCCAGGTCACTTGATCCTGCTGGTGTTTATGTTGGCTGTCCCCTCATGCCATTGGAAATGTCTCCCTCTGTATCTCCTCCTCCTAGCTGCCTTGGTTGAAATCCCACCTTCCACAGAAAGCTGTTCCCAGTCCTCTTTAATCTTAGTACCTCTCCTCAGAGATGACCCCTAATGGATCCTGTTCATAGCTTGTTGGTACATACTTGTTTGCACGTCATCTCTTTGATTAGACTGCGAGCACTCAGAGAGCAAGAACTGTTTTGTGTTTGTTAGCACAGTACCTTGCACATAGTAGGAGCTTAATAATTTCTTATTGACCAACTAAAAATGAGAGAAGTTAAAGGACTTGCCCAAGGTCACATAGCTAGTAAGTGTCTGTGGCTGGATTTGAACTCAGGTCTTCCTGACTCTACCACTCTCTCCACCATACATACCACTAAGCCGCTGCTTTTTTATTGTTGTCCCCATCTTACAGATGAGTAAACTGTAGTGGCTCAGAGAGTTCAAATGGTTGTTGTCCCCACAATCCCGCGACTGGTGAGTATCTGACTTGAACCTAAGTCTTCCTGGTACCAGGACCGTCTCTGGAAGCTGTCTTCCATGATGCTCCTTGAGGGCCTGCTAGTCCTAAATTCCTTGAAACGTGTTTAGGATGGGATTAAAAGGACAAAAAATGTATCTAATAGGGGACAAGGAACTGGAGTGACATGAAGCCATCAAGTGCAGTTGAGTCTAGGGGTAGAATTTCTTTCCTGAGCCCCTCGTCCTAGCTGACCCATGACAATGGCTAAGTCCTAAGATTTTGTTGTTGTTCAGTCGTTTCGGTCCTGTCTGACTCTTCGTGACTCCATTTAGGATTTTCTTGGCAGAGATACTAGAGTGATTTGCCATTTTCTTCCCTCGCTCATTTTACAGATGAGGAAACCTAGGTAGAAAGGGGATAAGTGACTTGCCTAGGGTCATAGTGTCTAAGGCCAAATTTGAACTCGGGTCTTCCTGACTCTGGGTTTGGTACTCTATCCACTATGCCACCTAGCTTGGGATCAGTAAGGTGCAGCTTCCATCTTGAGTCAGGAAAGCCACAATGTGTCACTTTTCCTCTGTAGGCCTCTTGCCAGAACCCCTATTTCCCCACAGTTTGCTCCCCGTGGGCCCCAACTCTACCCATCTCCTGTTTTCTCAGACAGAATTCACTAGCAGGGTTGGTAAAAGCTCTGTGTCTTGGTGGGATGACACAAATAACTCCACTTATTTCATGGCTCTCTGTCCAAGGAAACATCCTAGAGGCGTGGGTGCAAGACAGACTGCTTTCTGGAATTAGGGAAACTGGGTTCTGGTCTTGTCTTGTGTGACCTTGGGCAAGTCATGTAACTTTCTTGGGCTTCTATCTCCACTTCTTCAAACTGAGGTTGCACCAGATGAAGTCACTTTCAAGTCGAGCTCTCTGAGTCTTCGGTCCTATAACCTATGAACTTGGCCCAAAACGCCCAAAGAGAACCCATTTTCTTACACACAGCCCATTCTGCTACTTGCACTGACACTTGGATTCTCTTCAGCCCATTGTCAGGAACAGCCAGTACCCGGCGCAGCAAAATCAAGCTCCAGTGATTTGTTCTTTATGGACCCGACATCGTTTACGGCTCCTGACACCGCTCCCCTCTAGTTGCTTCATAAAACCCACTTCACTGGGCTTAATACAGCCTCCCCCTACACTTTCCTCGGCCTTGCTCTCTTCATACTGTTTTCCTAGGATTGGGGCCAAATGAAGCTATTTCAGGACCTGCTTACCCTAAATGCAGCAGCAGATGTTTTCTTCTTGCCCCCAGACCCCAACCCTCACCAAAAATCAGGCCGGTATAAATCCTTTAAAAATATTTCAAGTTAAATTTTTTTAAACTTTACATGGTTTCAGCCAGATTCCCTAAGACTTTGGGCCATGTTCATAATCATTTTATTCCTTACCTTCTGACAGAGAATAGACAGGGCAGGTTCTGCCCAAGGTGGCCCTTGGACACATGTCCTAGGATACCTGAAACTTTGGCAGAGTCCCTTGGAGGAAGCAATCCATTGTTCCAGTTGTCTGATGACATCTTGGCCAAATATCCCCCTTGTCACTTGGGGACCCTGCCTGGAATGGGGAAGGAGAAGGGCATAATGATTTCTAGTTTTGCCCAATGGCTGTGCTCCTTCATTTACCTGCATGTGGATTTCTGGGAACAGTTTTCCCCCAGTGATGCTAGTGATGGGGAGGGGAAAGTTGTGACACGTTGATAGGATAGTGGTCCTTAACTACCTTAACTCATCGGATGGGTTTCAGGTATTATCATTGACTTGGCCATCATTTGTGGGTGATGAAGGAGTAGAGCCACAAAAAAAAATTCTGGACCCCCTAATGCCTCTAGAAAGGCGGTGTTGCCTAGTAGATAAGAGGAGTAACTCAGGAGTTAAGTAGTTATTGTTCAGTCATGTCCGACTCTGTGACCCTTTTTGGGGTTTTCTTGGCAAGGATACTGGCATGGTTTGCCATTTCCTTCTCCAGCTCATTTTACAGATGAAGAAGCTGAAGGCAGATAGAAGTTAAGTGACTTGCCCAGGGTCACACAGCTAGGAAGTGTCTGAGGCTGGATTTGAACTTAG